GTAACTGCCTCTTGGTTACGCCGCGCTCTGACGATCTGGTATCAACTCTCCTTTTCGGCCGAATGAATGTGGCTTGGAACTATTTCACGCACGACAAAGTAACCGACAGAATTCAAACTTGTACGACCTGTGAGACAGGCGCAATACGGTTACTACGCACGAGTTTAGCGAGCTCCTAGACCGAACGCAATTTCACACGCAGCTACCCAAACCCGAGAGAACACGACAAAATACAAGCCTTTCGCGTAGACACTTTTACCGGCCAGGCTTAAGGCAATTACAGCGCAGTACAGCGTTTTTTATACCTCGATGGCGCCAATGATTTGTTTAAGCAAAAACTGGAAACAACTGAATTGGTACTATGCAAATATGCCAACAGAACATGTTGAAAAGTGTGTATTGGTAGATACGGAGGCTGGACTGGAAAACTGCATGTTTCTTAGGTAAAAGCGGCCGAATGTTTTATGATTGAAGGGAGGTTTGCCAGAAGCAGGAATGTTTTCTGAGCTACAAAGGCCAATCGAAACGTGAATGTCTCACGTGGGGGAAGGCTGATCGAAGCATGTGCACTTGTCCTAATCGAATCTCATTACCTTCCGTGGTTTAAGCTTGTAATCATTGTGGGGACGTTGGGTCCCCATAACATCCTCCCTTCAAGTTCGAACATACCGCTTTAGTTGCGGGTCGGGCCTTCGACGGATGCGCTCTGACCTGCGGTGAGGACTGGTTGGGTTTGTCGTCGGTTGTACGACTTCCATAGGCCCCGGTTGTCGCGCAGCGATTTTGTAAGTATCCAATAGTACGTTCAGCGGTATTCCTGTACTCGACTTGGATTGTTCCTTGAACGTTCCGCGTCGCGGTCGAACCTGGTTTTGGTGGCAAACTCGTGTCGTCTCCCACAGCGATATAATGTAGCATACTACCACGATGGGTCGTCACTGTTGCTTTGATCCAGCGTGGATGACCTGCTCGATAGTCGCGAGCGTATACCGGGGCTCCA